CATTCCATTCAATGGTTCTCTAAAAGAAAACATTTGTATGTATTTCTCATAGGGTCCTATGTTAAACTAAGCCCTCCGCTGGCAGCCATCTTAGATTATGGATCGGCTTCATAGTAACAACACTTGGTCAGCACCTCATAAGGAACATTCATGCCATGTTTGGTTTCATTGCATTCAGTGGTTCTCTAAAAGAAGACATTTGTATGTATTTCCCATAGGCTCCTATGTTAAACTAAGTCTCCCGCTGGCGGCCATCTTGGATGATGGATCAGCTTCAAAGTAACAACACTTGGTCAGCACCTCATAAGGAACATTCATGCCATGTTTGGTTTCATTCCATTCAGTGGTTCTCTAAAAGAAGACATTTGTATGTATTTCCCATAGGGTCCCATGTTAAACTAAGTTCCCCGCTGGCGGCCATCTTGGATTATGGATCATCTTCAAAGTAACAACACTCTGTCAGCACCTCATAAAGAACATTCATGCCATGTTTGGTTTCATTCCATTCAGTGGTTCTCTAGAAAAAGTTCAAAATGTAAAAAGCGACGATGGACGACGACGGACAACAAGTGATGAGAAAAGCTCACTTGGCCCTTTGGGCCAGGTGAGCTAAAAAGGAGCTCATGTCAATAGATATAAACAATTGACCAAAGTTTCTTGCAAATTGGTGAAAGCATTTTTTGAGTTATTGTCCAAAAACTGGAAAACCCCCCCTTTATTAAAACCCCATAACTCAGAAACGTAAAATCTAAATTTTATAAAAAACGAAAGGGAGAATGCAAGACATACCATACACCAGGCATTATAATCAATATACCCATTTGAACTGTAAGTAGCTGTGTACATGTACTTACAGATCCAACACAGCCATGCTGACACTCAATTTGAACAAGAGAACCAAGGGCCTGATTTATTATAATAAATAAAAAGGAAAACTATGTGTGTTTTAACAATACGAATGGCCCTGTGCACAACAAAAACTTGAAGCCAATTTCAGGAGTGGAAATTTAAGAATGAAAGTCTGTATAACTATTATTTTCACGAAAAAGTCCAAAGCCCATAATTTCTGAACAAATCAGTGAAGCGGGACCAGATTTAAACTTAATCTGTAACTCATCATAGTAGACTCACATATTAAAAATCAGTTCAATATGTGAAGGCGTTTAGAAAAAAAGGTCCTTATAACTGTTATTTTCACAAAATTTTCAAAGTCAAAAGCCCCTTATTTAGGCAAAAATCAGCAGAGCAGAACCAAACATAAACTGGATCTGTAACTCATTATAGAAGACTCATATACTTAAAATCAGCTCAATATGTGAAGGTGTTTAGAAAATAAGTCTGTGTAACTTTTATTTTCACAAAATGTTCAAAGAAAAGGTCCAAAGCCCCTTATTTCTGCAAAAATCAGCAGAGCAGAACCATACGTAAACTGGATCTGTAACTCATCATAGTAGACATGGTAGACTCACATACTTAAAATCAGCTCAATATGTGAAGGAATTTGAAAAAAAGTCTTTGCAACTGCTATTTTCACAAAATTTTTCAAAGTCCAAAGCCCATAATTTTGTCAAAAATCAGCGGAGAAGAACCAAACATAAAATCTATCTGTAACTCATCATAGTAGACTCACATACTAAAAATCAGCTCAATATGTGAAGTCATTTAGATAAAAAAAGTCTGTATAACTGTTCGTTATGGAATGAAAGAATGACCAAATGATACAGTACCATTTAAACGGATCGATTCGAGATCGTCTTTTTATGATTTCCGTGTTTTTCGGAGTCACATGCGTACCGCGGATTATACTTCCAATTTCCTCCAAAGATTCTCTCCCAACACCGTGTGGCTGTTAATTGGTTTATTGCCCATCAGGCGTCCTAAAAATTAACAACGCCTGACAACATAATCTGATTAGCCAGATTATTTACCTATGTACATCTAATCAATCTTGATTGCACCTGTGTGCTTTAAAAACACGGTATTAAAATTTTAACAAATGTTTTCCTTTCTTTGACAAATAACGATGTGACATTATAATTCAGCAAAAGATAATTATTCTTATATGTTTTTGCCCCATGTCATTGTCATTTGAAATAAAACGTACAAACAAAGAAAAATATGAAGAAAAAACTTATTTTGTATTTCTATTATAGTCCAATCAGGTATACTTTGTGTTCTTTCAACAAAGATGAACAATTTCCGGTGCATATTTATTTTGCAATGCAAAATATTATGTTTCACTACCTCGGTACATGACCGACTTGAATCATTTGAATTCCGAAAAGAAACTGTAAAGTGACAATTCTGGTGAACAAAGGGAATAAGTTTTGTATGCATGCCCTTTATTCATAAAAACAAAACACTGAGAGAAATTCCCCACCCAGGCACAACACAACATTCACAACTTAATTAATTATATGGAAAAAAATCATGGGTTTATCTCTGTTATTGATCTTTAATTATTTAAAACAAAATTGGATGAGCACAATCTGTATTTTACTGCTCGTTAAAAGTCCTTGGCGAAATGAAAAAAATGAATTATTTCAACAATTACTATAGAAAAAAATCAAATATATATACGAAAAATATTAAAATGAAATTATATCGTGTACCCAGATGCTACAAGAAAAAAATATGCGAAAAAATAAGTGGACAGGATTTCAACGATCTACACATTTTCACAGAGGATCTCTACCAAGGCCCAACTTAACGATATGCATCGTGTTTTCATCTACAATAAATTTATATTGTTGACCATGGACGTATAACTAATGTTCAGGTCTACGTCCTGTTTTGACTGATAAAACATAAAAAATAAAATAGTTAAAGAAGACGTGTGTTCGTTTATTTTGGAAAAGGATAAATTTTAGATTACGGTTAATCAATTGTAAAAGGACCTTCTAGATCCTCAATACTAACGCACAAAAATGTCAATCATTAATACAAAGCAACTTTAAAAACCTGAATGAATTTTCCCACGGTCGTTCAGAGAGGTCACCTGAGTTTACTGGTACGTGATATTATTTCCCGCCATATAAAAATCTCGTGCTGTGGATAAAATTGATGTCAGCTATTTTTAGCATTTAATATTGTGAGCGAAGTCAAGTTCAAGTTGAACCACACACTGTTGATCACTGAGATGTGTATCGTGGAATTGTCTTCCCACGGCAAATTAATTTCTTTTAAAATCTTTTAAGATCACTGTCCAAAATACAACACACAAGTTTACATTCATTGTGCGTAAATAAAATAATGTGCAAAGACGAGTTAATGCAGCTGTGGAAGTATTCCTGTTGTAGCCGAAATGTATTATTATCCTAAAGCAATGCCAACAAATCGTAAAAAGAAAATGCCATAGACTTATTAAGCATAACGAATGGTGAATAATATTTTCTTTTTTACTTGCATATACAAAACTTTGAGACACATAATTTTCTTTAAACTGCTTACATTTAATCAGCGGTAGTTTCCGTTTATTTTTACACAAGTATGTCCCTTTTCATAAATAAAATATTAATTTACTGATGAAAAAAAACGAGGTCAAAATCAAGTATATATAAAAAAGAAGATGTGGTATGATTGCCAATGAGACAACTCTCAACAAGAGACCAAATGACACAGAAATTAACAACTATAGGTCACCGTACGGCCTTCAACAATGAGCAAAGCCCATACCACACAGTCAGTTTTTTTTTATAAAACTATAATGCAACTGAAAGAATTAACAACAATTTGCTTTTAAATCTTTTATTTATTTCAAGCAATTAGATAATCGTAAAAAGAAAATGCCGTAGACTTATTAAGCATAAGGAATGGTGAATAATATTTTCTTTTTCACTTGTATACAAAACTTTGAGACACGTAATTTTCTTTAAACTGCTCACATTTATTCAGCTTTGAAGTAGAATTTCGCGTTTTTTTCCACATTTTCCAAAAAATTTTATAAACCTTTTTTGGTAATGTCCGTTTTTTTTTAAACAAGCAAGTCCATTTGGGTAAAGATATTTTTAGATTAGCAAGCAAGAAATACGAAAATATTTTAACTTATTTTTAACACAAAAATTAAACTTAACCAATATAAAAAGACATTTAAAATTATACACTTGTTTGACACTTAAACTGGTACAGTAGACCGGAAATATAATTGTTTATTACGTCAGTTAATCCAATTACCCTATCAGTCGTATGCAGGCATAGATTAAAGTAGGATTAGGGCAATTAATTCCTCTGTGTTGGGAGTGACCTCGCTATCACAATTAACATTTACACAATTATGGGAGGAATATCGGAGTTTCTCGGAGTGACTCCGAAATTTTCCTCAATGAAGGGTGTGGGAGAGCTGGTCCGTTTGAATGGTACTGTAGATAAAACTATATTGCCCCAACCACTTTGAAGCGTGCCATAAAAACCCAAATATGAGGGCAACCAAAGACCGCTGAGTTGCAGGCTTCTGACATAAAACAGGCAAAAACAGAATGTTTTTGGATTAAACATGGTTGCAATGCTCAAGCCTTCTCTGCTCTAAGTTTTACTGCCCACCACAAGAACAAGCTGTAAATTAGTGTAAATAAATTTTCATTTGATCCAACTTTTTTGATAACTATATATATCATACATTTCTTTCTCAAAAGGTCTATCAATTTGTTCAAACACGTATCATCTTTAATGTGGGTACTTGAATTCAGTAAAACCTTAAGTACAAGTTTGACTTTTTCTTTCACATGGTCATCCATATCTTCTTAGGTTTAATTCCGAAGACTTCCGAAAATGGCGCAAAATATTCCGAATGATCCATAATATAGGGCATCTCAAAATGAGAAAATGAATAAACTCTTTCCGCATAGAAGCTGCATTGAATTTACAAATATTGCATTTAATGATTATTAAATCATTATACATCTCTATTTTCTTCGACTTTCAATTCTTCAAACCAATATAAAAATAAAAAATGTGAAACCATTGTATTCGAGTTATTCATGTGTTCCATATTTTAGTAAGGGGAATAACTACCAAAATCACGTGACCTTTCCTTATTTCCAGCAGGCGAAAACACTCGCCGGTTTGCTGCTTTTATCATAAGAATGACATCTCGAACATCTTCACTTCTTTTAAGATCTCTGAAAGTACGATACACAATTCCATTTTGAAAACGAATTTTCTTGGGACATTGTTTAAAAAGCCGAAAATCTCGCAAAGTTTAACAAAAAGATGATGACCTTGGCGTTAGAAACAAACCATTATTTACATACCATTTATAAAAATTATAGTAGATTAGTACTAACTTCACACCAAAAGCAGACAACATTTGCGAACTTTTGTTACCCCGTTATTATAGACATGTAATGTATGATGTGACTTGGCATTAACTGGTAATTGTTAATGGAAGTTTCTATGTGATCAGTCTGTTTAATTAAATTATTATGCATGTTGTTTCCTTTGACATCCTATTATAAATTGACAATCATGTCCAATTAATATGAAATAAAATCTAGTGTAAATCACATTTCACATGAAGTAGTGCTTAGTGGTCAATCTAAGAGCATGTGAAAATTATAGCTGCGCTTATATTTTCTGTCCAGAAGTTTAGTTACAAATTGCTGTATTTTATTTGTTAACAGTCAAAATCGTGAACTTAAATTAAATATGAGGCAGGGTTTATCTGATTAGCTCTTGAAGGTTATGTATTTGATAATGATACTTTCCGGAAATCAGTTAAAATTTTATTTAAAAAGCTTTGCAAGCTTCACTCTTTTAATGTGAAAATTTAACTGTCTCGATTGAAGAAATATTTTATTTGATGCAGTGGTAGAATTTATATATATTGATCACACTATTTATATAGGTATTGCATACCTGTCAACTGACCCGTATTCTGCAGGTTACACCCGTGAATTTTACCTTTCATACAGGATTTTTTAAATACACGCCAGGTATTCAAGTAACCGGGGATTTCAGAAAATGACCTGTTTTCACCCGTATTTCTGATCGGTATTGTTGTCGGTATTTAGAAGTCAAATATAGGTTCGTTTTTTTCGGCATTTTACCTTTGAAAAGGTAAACAATTGAAAAGTCAAAACCTTGGATTTCCTTTTTTACCTAAACAGGAGCCCAACTGTTGTCTCGCTCTTATCTACACAGCGGAGCGTCAATCAGAGGGTGGCCAGTTTACTTATTTACTGTGCCGATGACAACTATCAAGACATTACATTTGATAGAAAAGTGTCTCGTTAATTGTACCCCAGAAAGTAGGAGAGAATAATTTTAATATCACTTAAATGTAAAAGTTTTAAATCAAATTCATATGCTCTAGATATTGTTGCACTGAAAGGAAACACACTAACTTCTTTCTATTTATCTTCCTCCTGTGTATAGGAGCACATTTAGATTTCTAATTACAAGTATAGCTGGGGTTTAAGACATTTATTAATAATAAAAAGTAGTGTGAATAAAACAATAAGAGGTATTGCTTTAGAAAGATATATAATTAATGATAAATATTAATATAATTAACAAATACAAAAGTGAATATTTGCAGGAAACTCAGTGGTACACGTATATATATTATATAAAAATAACCCCTAAAATTGAACGGAAAAAAAGTTTGTACAGGTTATGACCATTCTTCAATGGAGGTCATTAAAAATTAAATCATCCATGTTATGAATCAGTTTAACACATTGTATTTGTCATACAGGTTTTACTACACCAAAACTGCTGCTATATAAAAAGTAAAAATACAAAGCTGTTTTTTTCTTTCGTTTCTCATGCTTACAGTATATTCATGATATTTATGGTATATTGTTTTCAAATTTTAGGGTAGACTTTATGGAACAAGTGCAGCAGCTACCTCAGATTCATCTGCACAGTTGACGAAACAGACACCAAGGGTATTTATAATTTGTCCATACATAGTATGCTGGTCATATATATATAAAATTGAGAGTAGATGAAATTGGAATGTTGAGTTGAAGTATCAGTAAATAGCAGTATATACTGAAAACCAACTAATTTTCGGGAGCGATTTATTTTCGCGACTTACGCAATTAGAAAAATAACGCAAATATAAATCGTTGCGAATATGTAAAACTTGAATCTTTCCTTATTAAACTACATCAAACAAATTTGAAAATCACGAAATTAAATCGCAGCAAAATGGGCTAGTAAGGGCTAAACACGACATTGTTTTTGACTTCTTATTAACATCTTTCAATAGTGGATTTACATTGTTTTAACTTCTTATTCTGGCTATCTTTTAGTTCTACTTTTAAACTCAAATGATTTTCATGATTGCAAGGCCGTAACTACCATTGAGGCAAGTGAGGCAATTGCCTCACTAAAATTTCGACACTGAAATTTTTGTCTGTGTATTGTTTATCGGAATTTAATACGACATATATTCATTTGTTTTTCTCTGTTTCAACCTTAATTTCTATAACATTGGAACTAATCCAAAAACTATAAATAGACTGACAAATCAAGTCCTGGGGCACCGCAACGGAGCAGTCCTGTCTGAGTATTCATTTCCCCGTTCTGTATCTGTATGAATACGTTGTGGATACCAATACTGGCTTTAATACAACTATAGAGAGAGCGCCGTCAATTTACTGACGGTGCGCTAGAGCAGTTTTGAAGCTCTCAACTCTCAGTGCGAGCACTACAGTGTCTTCAAGGTGGTTCCACTCTATCACTGTTTTTACGAAAAATGAGTTAGAATATTGTGGTGTTTTGCTCGTTGGAATCTCAAAACACTTTGTGTTGTACTTGACTTGTTTTTACATAATATTTATTGTCTGGTAAATGTCCTTTTTTCCGACTTTATTCGTTCTCTTTACAGATTAACGAAATATGAATAATATGAAATCTGCATGGATTAGTTTTTATCCATGTTTCTTTTACTTTAATTTGAAAGAACATCCCGTAATCCAATTTTGACATTATTGACGGACGGTATAACCTTTAAAACGGGATTTCATGTTTTCTAATTCGGGACTACAGGATTTCGGGATCAGACCCCCTCCTACCCTCCTCATTATTCGATTGTCGATCTAAAATATCTTACCACTGACTTTTTCCAGAAATAATCTGAAATCACGGACCTACATGTAAACGGCGAAAACTACAATCCAATTTCTGGGTATCCATAAAAAAAAAACCCCTAAAAATCAATATTCCTAGAATAACATAAAACGATATAGTTATATCCAATTTCCCATATCCATAACATTAAAAGGTAGCATGTGGCAAGAAGAAAAACTAAAAATAATATTCCTAAAATGACATAGGGGTACCCCCATATCTCAGTGAATTCAGATGACAAAGATATGATTATCCGACATTTCTGAAGGTGAAATGGCAAAGTAGATCCCAATATACTCTGTTCAAGGCTTAAAGCTGAAATTTGATTTTTTGCTCCGTCCGCAATGAAATGGTTTGAAATCAATCCGTGACATCTTCAATCTATGCTGAATTTTAACAAGTAAATTAAAGTGAAAACAAGGGAACTAAGATTATAATGGGTAATGATAAATCAGTCGTAATTTAAATCGATGGACGAAGACAATGCCAAAAAAAAACAGACAACACAACACAACGAAATACACCATTTATCCAAGACCCACTGTCGAAAGTTTATGCCTCGCTTCGCTCGGCTCTATTTTTTTGCCACGCTCTGCTCGACGATCAGTTCTGCCTCACTAAAATAATATGCCTAGTTACGGCCTTGGATTGTGTTGTTCTCTAACATTTTTTCGAAACTTTTTGTTGTTGTCTACTTAAAGAATGTCTTTCCAGAGAAGTAATTAAATATCTCTTATTGGTAAAATGACATTGAAAAGGAGCCATATTTTTATATTTATTTCTCTTTTTATTTTGTCTTTTTGTTAGTTCCATACAACTCCAGAGATAACTTTTTTGTTTACTTTATGTCAAAATTTCAGCATTTACAATAAAGGATTTTTTACATTTTACCTAAAGAGTTCAACTTTTACTTAGCTGTAACACATAATTTTCACTGAATCATTTGAACTATTTTTTATAAATGTTGTAAATTTTATTCAGGTCACCAAACTAGAGAATGGACTGACAGTAGCATCATTGGAAAATTACTCTCCTATCTCCCAAGTTGCACTTGTAGTAAACGCTGGATCAAGGTTTGAGTCATACACAGATGCTGGGGTTACTCACTTTTTGCGATCTGCCACTAGTCTTGTAAGTAGTCTTCATAGGATTTATGAATGATTGATACACTTTGTTTATGAATTTGGCTTATCGAATAGAAGCAGATGTATATGTTATTGGGACATCAACCCAAGCAAACCCCCAAAAAAGAAAGAAAAAATAGATGCATATGAAATACCTTATGAAACTAGACTGTTTGTTGACTTCTAGATGTCTTTTTTTTTTCTTTTGTTGGAAAAGCACTGTAGCATGTAATGGATATTTTTTAGAATATACATGTACATACTGTTCTCTTTTACATCTAATATGTAAGTCATGCATATATAAATATTCTGTAATGGAGAACATCTTAATGCTGTTTTTTTATATTTCCATTGCATACTTGGACTGACACTAGTTCATTTAAATTGACTTATAAATCCTCAAGAGACTAATGGGTCAGATTTTTTATGAGAATTCTGACATTAAAAATTATTATGCTGGCAGTCAAACTATGAAATTTATTATTATATTTTGAAACTGAAAAAAAATTAAAACCTGTATTTATCTCTCTGGATACTAAAAGTTGGAAAATTTCATTTTATTGTAACTCGTATGAAATAGTTGCATTACAGTTGGTTTGTTTTTTCAGAGTACATTGAATTGGCTAGATACATCCTTGGTCAGAGCAGTAGAGGAGTGTGGGGGTAACTTAGGGTAAGACTATGTGTCTTTGTAGAAATCTATGTAAGGTAGTAAGATTATTACTAAGGGCATTTGATTTAATGATTGATTGTCACATTGTGGTTGGATTTATGCTATTTATTATTTTTTCATCTGTGTGAATATTTAAAATGCAGTAAAAATGACATAAGTGAAGTAGCATGACCATATGGTTTAATTTCTAAATTCTGGCTTTAAATTTATGAATTTGAATATTTTTTATGGTTTGATTCTATGATTCTGTTGTTGATATTCAATATGTGTGTCATTTCTATTATTTAAAGTGTCTGAAGGTGCAGTTACATATTGTAAGATGGTTAGTTTTATACATTTATTAAGAAGAGTTGTTTATCAGTCTTACATGTACTTTGCTAAATGGTACTCGGATACCTAGCTAATTAATGTATGATATAAAAATAGAAAATTCAAGAGGATTGAATTTAAAATGTATTTCAAGCATTTGATATTTGTAAAGAAAAAGATTTATTTGAGATAAGGGATCCAAAAAAATTGAAGGGTTTCATACAGTTTTTATACGATTGCAGTCGTATATTGGTATCACGTTGTCGTCAGCGTCGTCTGAAGACATTTGGTTTCCGGACAATAACTTTAGTAAATGTAAATAGAAATCTATTAAATTTAAACACAAGGTTTATAACCACAAAAGGAAGGTTGGGATTGATTTTGGAGGTTATAGTCCTAACAGTATAGGAATTAGGGGCCAAAAAGGGGCCCAAATAAGCATTTTTCTAGTTTCCAGACAATAACTTGTGGAACGGTGTATGGATCTCTCTGAATTTTCATATTACACCTGACAATCTATGATAATTAACTATTTCTTATGTATTCATTAATGGAATTTGCGCATACAAATAGGAAAAAAATAGATGAAGTCAAAATAATTAATTTAACGACAACATTGATATATTTTACAATCACTGACAGTAACTGGTTTTGGACATTTTCCCGAAGATCAATGATCAGTATATTCCACATAAACACAATAAATGAATTGAACATAAAACTAAAATATAGACTCTAAAGCATGATTGTATCTTTTTCTGGATAACGTCCCTCGAACCCACTACCAAGAGGTCCTCTGCCCTAGAACTGTTGGTTCGTGGAGGTTCAGGCGTACACTTAACAATGGTCAAGCTACGTCACTGGTTATTCTGTGTCAGAAACCTATTATGTGTCAAATATTTAAATACAATCCAAATTCAGACCTGTATCAAGCGTGAATATTGTGTCCATTTTTGCCCCAACTGTTCAGGGTTGGACCTCTGTGGTTGATTCCAACTGCGCTCGGCGAAGCAATTTATTCAAAATTTTTTTAAAATTTTGCATCAGATACATTGTTTAACACATCATGCGTTTTTGCTAAATTTACTCAATGTTCATTCAGGACAACAGAAAAAGAATTCTCTATCATTAAAATGAATAGAAATGTTTATATATGGATATTATTTTCAGGTGTACAGGTACAAGAGAGTATATGATATATAGTGCTGAAACCTTGAGAAATCAGTTGTAAGTACATTATTTTTCTTTTTCAATTTAGCTCACATTCTGACCTCCAAATTTTCCTTTCAGATTTTTGTATTTATCCTCTAAGCATATTCCTGTTGTACAGTCAGATTTACTAGTAAACAGAACATTGCACATTAAACAGTGATATGACCATTACATAAACTATATTATTGGCCAATACGTGTAATATTTATCATTTCCAGAAACAGTCTCCTTTCCTTTTCAAAAAAGTATTAATAATGAACATGATGAAGTAAAAGAATTTCTGAATTATATGAAATGAAAATTGAAAAAAAACATATCCGATTTATTATCAGTATGTGGTGCTAATGCTGGTATATCTGATCTAAAATATGTTGGGTCTCAAGCTACTAACTGCAGCCCTCAATTTAGGCTATTAAAACTCGCCTGGGCGACCTATAAAGCCTCCAGGCGACCTTAATTTCATTGTTGGTTGCCATTTGGCGACTGGTACAATTTTGACCTGGCGACCGCAAAATTCCGGATAATCAACCTGACTCCAGTCGAATTTTATCAAGATTTATTCACAGTCATACGAGCGCTTGAATGTATGTTAAATCTTGAATATGATTTCAAGCATTTTTAATCTTAATGGGGTCTATAAAGCGCTTAACTTAACTGGGAATTCAAGCCTCTGATGAAGTGTTTTCGGGGCCAATACATCATGGCAGCCAAACAGATGTTGCTGTCCGGATTTTTCAAGACAGCTACCCAAAACAAAGATGTTTCACCAGCTAAGAAACAAAAAGAAGGGGCGGAGAATCAGATGAACAAGAATCAAATTAGAATTCTCACTGTGGTTGCCTTGTTCCATTATTAAAATTTATTATGATATCAAACCTCAATGAATATTTACTTTTTTGTTAACTTAGTCATGGTTTTGTCATTGTGTTTCTTTAATCAACTAGTATAGTAAAGAAGATCAGAACAAAAGATATACAAGGGTTAACTATAAGCAATATTTGCTTTGAACTAAGACTAACTTATTTTATGTCTACTATTCTATATAATAGAAAATTTATTGATATGCTTTTTTTACTAGTCTTCATTAGCTCTACTGACTAGACTTTCATAACAAATTTCTTAGGCAACCTGAAATTATTTCCTGGCCACTAAAATTTTGAATTGGCCACTGAAATTTTATATCTGGTGGCCAAAAGGCAATCTGGTCTATAAACCTACTTTGAGGGCTGAACTGCTTAAAATATATTTCAAAAGGGAATAAATCATTTTATTATAGCATGATATCATCTTACTAAATAACCCTTGTGTATTTGATTATAGATTTGAGAGCAATGCAGCAGAGATTTTAAGAGATGTAGCATTAAATCCATTATATGATGCATGGCAAGTAGAAAATGGAACTGTTCAGCAACAGATGGTCATTGATATTGCTAATATGATTGGAAATCCTGAAATAAGTGAGTAACTCATTGTTTTAATTTTCTTCTGTTCTGAAATTCTGAAAGTTTTGTTGTCAAAGCCAGAATTTTTGATGACTGTTCTAGGCAAAGTCATAAAAAATATTTTTCTGGTTGGGTCTTAAACAAAAGAATAAATGATCTTTTGTATATGTATTTGATAATTCAGAGCTCTTACTAAAACATAAGTTTTACAAGTTAGGGCAGTTGTCATTCATAGTACCAATGTAATGATTGTCCTATTTTCCCAAAATTTTTATCAAAGTGAAAATATTGATTTCTTTATTCTTTAAACCAACTGGTGATATCTGATTAAAACAAAAACTTTCAGAAAAGCTAATTTGATTGATGTTAATACTAGATGACATTTTCAACATATAAAATTATGATTTAATATTTTAATACATCTGCTCAAAATTCGTTCATAAAAGAACACAACCAATCCTAGTTAGGATTGGTTGCATTGAAATTTATGAAATCTTGTGCAGATGACATGGCTAGTGATCTTACATGTATTTCAATTTCAAGTTTTATCATGGTTCTGGTTTATTTAAATATTTTTATGTATTTTGCAGGATTAATGGAAATGATACATGAAGCTGCCTACAGGGATACTTTAGGAAGATCACTTTACTCTCCATTTTATCATGTTAACAAATTTCAGCCAGATCAAGTAAGTAAAAAGAGGATGTTGAGTATCAGAATAAATATTTATGGTGGCCAGGCATATAGATTTTTCCGTTTTTGGTCTTCCTATACAATGTACATATATTCTGTGTTTAATTTCATTTCTAATAAATTTGTGATGTTATATCAATGATATTTTATCAATCTGGAATTCTACAAATCACTTACTCCTTTCTACTTTCTGTTTTGATCATTATAAAGACAACCAATAAGATTAAAGCCTCAACATTTTTGAAGGTGTGTTTCATACCATAAAACCTTAAGTTCCTGAAAAGGTCTTCACAACAAAAGGTAGAAAAGAGCATTAAAAAAATCTCAGTATGTTTTTATGGATATAACCCTTTAAAAAGGTTAACTATATTTGGGAATGATTGCAAGGTGTACATGTCTGTCGGGGAGGATTCATATGACCATGACCTCATAATTAGGATTCATTGGTCAACATTAAGTTTTTGTCGAGCCTGCGACTTTTGTATATAGATCCCTTATGTTATGAAGTTTCCGTCTGTCATATGTCCATTGTCCTTGACCTCATTTTCATGGTTCAGTGACTACTTAAAAAAAAAGTTAACATTTTTTGTAATGATAATTTCTCTCTTATTATGAGTAATAGGATAACTATATTTAATATGTGCGTACCTTGCAAGGTCCTCATGCCCGTCAGACAGTTTTCATCTGACCTCGACCTCATTTCATGGATCAGAGAACAAGGTTAACTTTTCATGGTCAAGTCCATATATCAGATACTATAAGCAATAGGCCAACTATATTTGGTGTACGGAATGATTGTAAGGTGTACATGTCCAACTCTCAGGTGTCATCTGACCTTGACCTCATTTTCATGGTTCAGTGGTTAATGTTAAGTTTTTGTGTTTTGGTCTTTTTTTCTAATACTATATGCAATAGGTCAACTATATTTGGTGTAGGGAAATATTTTACAATGTACATGTCAGTCTGGCAGGTTTTATTTGACCTTGACCTCATTTTCACGGTTCATTGCTCAGTGTTTAGTGTTTGTGTTTTGGTCTGTTTTTCTTAAACTATAACCAATAGGTCAACTATATTTGTTGTATGGAATGATTGTAAGGTGTATATGTCTGTCTGGCAGGTATCATCTGACCTTGACCTCATTTTCATGGTTCATTGGTCATTGTTAAGTTTTCATGGTTAAGTTTGTTTCTTAGATACTATAAGCAATAGGTCAACTATATTTAATGCATAGATTGATTGTAAAGTGTACATGTCTGTCTGGCATGGTTCATCTGACCTTGACCTTATTTTCATGGTTCATTGGTCAATGTTTAGTTTTCCTGTTTAAGTCTGTTTATTAGAAATTATAAGCAATAGGTCAACTATATTTGGTGTACTGAATGATTGTAAGGTGTACATGTATTTCCGGTTTGGTTTATCTGACCTTGACCTCATTTTCTTGGATCATGTAAAGTTTATGTGATACTTTAGTAAAGCTTTAGAATTAGGACTATCAACATAAAATCAATGGTCAGTTAAGAAGGCGAGACAGTTCAGCGTGTGCACTCTTGTTAAAGTTACGTCTGTTTCTCTGATAATATAGGCAATAAGTCAACTATGTATTTCGTGTATGAAATGAAATAAAGTTGTACATGTCTGTCAGAGGGTTCATTTGACCCTAACCTCATTATCATGGTTCATTGGTCAATATTAAGTTTTCCTGGTTACATCTGTTTTTCAGATACTTTAAGCAATAGGTCATCTATATTTGTTGTAAGGACTGATTGTAAGGCATGGTCCATCTAACCTTGACCTAATTTTCATGGATCATTGATAATGATTGTTTACTTGAAACCTGTAGTATAACTTTTATTTTAAAGACTTTAAATCATGATCAGTAAAGCAGACTAAACATTTAGTTTGTTGACTATCAGTGGTAGTTATGTACACTTAGGGTATTGAATTATTATTTTAGTTGAAAGGTTTCCACAGTAAAATGTTTACAAATGACAGAATGGCATTAGTTGGACTAGGTGTTGACCATGACCAACTGGTAGAAGAAGGAAAGGCCTATGTTCAGGGTCCCAATAGAGGAGGTTCTACTGTCCAGACAGATAAAGCAGTCTATCATGGTGGTAAGATATTCTTCTACAAGATAATATTGAGTGTCAAAGTAACCTTTAAAGTCATATGTGGTCATATGTGAGAAAAAAAAACATTGAGTGTACAGCGTCATTAAAATATTGAAATTATTTATATTTTCTCAAAAGAAGCATAAGCTTTTAAAAGTTCTAAGCATTGAACAACTTGCAATTTTGTGATGAAATCATTGGTTTTCATGAAAACAATAGGATACAGGATTTACATACTGAGAACAAAAATATGTTTGAAAATCATAAGTAAAATAGAATTTTAAAGATATGGTACATATTTTTACTCTTGTTTTTTGGTAGTATATTTTTTTTAATGAAAATCAACTCTTGGGTGCTTTAACCTCTATTAGTCACAGACAAAAATATCATGTGGTGTCCAAACCTCCCAATGATTTTTTTTTCTAGAATAGCGCTTGCACAAATTTATTATTGATTTCCTGAGGTCATTCAAAAATATTAAAAAGTTATGGGCGAACATTTCCATGAGTACCTTACTATATACATATGATAAATGTCTTAGTCTTTCAATTGATTTAAAAAAATTGAATTTTTACTCTAGGAATACTCCAAATTTTTAGCAGATGATTGAAAATTTCAGCTGTCATACTTCTACATATTTTTATGTTAATCCGTCAACTTTGAAACTGATGAAATAAATAAAGGACATTATTAAAAATATTTAATGATTATCTATTCGATGCCACTACTGATGGAGGTTTCCTCCCCGAGTTTATCACCTTCCCCATGGTCAGTAGTCAGTACTTCTGTGTTGACATGAGTTATCATTGATAAGGTCATAATTATAAATTAACTGTTTATAAAACTTTGATTTTTTATACGACCGCAAAAAATGTATATTGGTATGACAATGGCGTTGTCGTCGTCGTCCGAAGACACATTGGTTTTCGCACAATAACTTTAGTTTAAGTGAATGGATCTCTATGAAATTTTACCATAAGGTTCAAAACCACAAAAGAAAGGTTGGGATTGATTTTGGGGGTTATGGTACCAACAGTTAAGGAATTAGGGGCCAAAAAGTGGCCAAAAATAAGCATTTTTCTAGTTTCCAGACAATAACTTGTGGAACGGTGTATGGATCTCTCTGAAATCATACCACAAGTTTCCATACCACAAAGGGATGGTTAGGATTTGCTTTGGGGGTTATGGTTCAAACTGTTTAGGAATTAGGGGCAAAAAAGGGGGAAAAACAAGGGTGTCCTGGTTAATGGACAAATACTTTAGCACAAAACATAATTTAAAGCAGTGTAAGGGAGGTAATTCAAATACATCATTTGAATTACCTAAATTACACCTTAATTATGTATAAAGTAATGGTTAATGAACAATTAAGACAATTTAAAAGCAGTGTAAGGGAGGTAATCCAAATACAACGTTTTGATTACTTCCCTTACACTGCTTTTAAATTATGTTTAAAGAAATGCATATTTATAAAGGAAGACCAGTAAAAATATCTGCAAATGTTGCATTTTTTTATTTTTACCAAAAAATCCATATGAAAGATTTGACACTATATTTTAAATTCTATTATAAAATAGATTAAGTTAGCACTATGGTTAATTTAAATGGGTAATTATGGTTGCAAACTCCATTGGATATTTGAATTGAGATTACGACCATATCTTGAGGGAAGAATTTTTTGGGGGAAAATAGGGGGGGGGGGTTAAAAAGAAATTGTGGGGGGTAATTTTTTTCAAGATTCAATTTTTTAAAAGAAAAATTCTTCAAATATTATTATTTTTGCAAAAAAAAAAATGGGGGGGGGGGGGAGGTTAATACGCAACAGCATACTGTATTGCACAAACGCAAAAAAAAAGGGGGGTCAATTTGCAACAGCAAAGTGTATTGCACAAAAGCAAAAAATTGAATATAAATTCAAATCATATAACCAATTCTTTGACTACAGTTATTCCGTGTCAGAAACCTTTTATGTGTCAAATATTTAATTACAATCCAAATTCAGACCTGTTTCAAGCGTGAATATTTCATCCATTTTTGCCCCAACTGTTCAGGGTTGGACCTCTGCTGTCGTATCCAGCTGCGCTCGGCAAAGCAATTTATTTTTAAGTACTAAGGATTTTCTACCACAGGAATAAGTTACCTTAGCTTTATTTGGCAAAACCTTCCGGAATTTTGGGTCTTCAATGCTCTTCAACTTCATACTTTATTTGGCCTTTTAAACCTTTTTGATTAGAGCGTCACTGATGAGTCTTATGTAGACGAAATGTGTGTGCCTATAATTTTTTTTATCCTGGTATCTATGATTAGTTTAATTTCTGTTACAGATAATCTTAGATTACCATCGGATGAACCTATGACACATGTAGCTATTGTGACAGAAGGTCCAAGGTAATACATGTACAATAGAACTTGTATAGATTGAACTCATAGAAAATTTCAAAATATATTAGACCTTATATGTAATCACACTTAATGTTTAAAGATGAAGACCAAAGAACATATTATAACAATGGATAACGATGGAACATGTCTACAAATCATTAAACTAATAGCCTCTATGTCAGAGTGTGAAACATTAATAAATTTTAACTTTGCTGCAAGACATAAAAAACCTTAATATTCATTTCATTAGTAATATTACTATTTTGATTATAGTCTTTACAGTAAGTGTAAAATTTAATCATTTAGTATAAATATAAGAAGATGAGGTAGGTTGTCAATGAGACTACTATCAGCCAGAGTCCAAATGATGAAAATGTCACCTAGGGTCTTCAACAATGAGCAAAACCCATACTGTATAGTCAGTAATAAAACGCAAATATTTTTAGACATATATTAAAAATGCATTTTTTATTTTTCATTTCTTGCTATGTTGAGACCACAGGTAATAAAATCAGTGATTGAATTGATTCTCTTCTCTTAAGTGTTTGCTTTTTCTGGAAAAATTATACAAAGCGGTCAGAAAACACTTCAAATAAAATTTGATGCATGGTTGGTATTTTTGAAGATAAGACTAAGGAACATAAAGATATTTCATGAAAAGGAAATAAATCAATTTACATTCAACCCTCCACCTAGAAAAAATAATCTCTCTCTTGTGTGTTTATACTTGTCATTTCATATTTCAATTTTATCATTTGGATTATTTTTTTTTCACACCGTGTGAATGATGAATTGGAAATATGAAAAAATAAAAATAAATAAAAGTCCAAAAGATAAAAAATATGAAATGACAAATATAAACACACAAGCGACAGATTATTTGTTCTACCCTCCACCTCCCAACTTGTATTAATATTTCTGGAACACACACAATTCTATGAAGACTACTTGCATCTTCCCATTGTCAATATACAAACATTCACTGTATTAAAGTGTTGTAATTTGATTTGATTGTAGTTTGACCAGTAAGGATTTGTATGCAGTAGGTGTGTTACAGATGATAATGGGAACAGGTCCTCACATAAAATACAGTGAGAATACCACAGTAAACAGACTGGGTAAAGGTGTAGGAGAAGCTATTAAGAATAATCCATTTGCTGTAAGTGATAAAAGTTATAAACATCCATCTAATGATTTGAAGGATTTTAGGAGCAGGGGTCTGTTGTGTTGTAGTTAGTTGGTAAGCTTTTACCCAATTCCTGTTGGAGTTCAGCAGTTTCCCAAACAAACAAAAAATTAGATAGTATGAACTTGTAACTTTGTTAGATATTTGAGACTATTTTTGTATGCCCCTGCCATATTGGAGGGGGCATTAAGTTTTACCCTTGTTCGTTCATCCTTCCATACGTCCCAAAATGGTTTCAGTTCTCTAACTTTAGTTTGCCTCAACCAAATGTTATGAAACTTATACACAATGCTTATTACCACAAAACTCAGATTAAATATGAATTTGGGTAGCATCACTTTTATCGTTCTTGAGTTATGTCCCTTTTTATACTTATATGCAAGCGGGGGTATCATCTGTGTTCCATGGACACATTCCCCATTTATTTATGAAAGTAGCCACAACGAATATACTTTGATTTGTCAGTTACTAAGTGAATGTCAGCAGTTTTCCCTGTTGGTATCAGATTTCCTCCATGAAATTGACCTTTATTTAAATTTACACTATATAATAGTTTTGTTCAACCACATCCAACAAACACTTCTACATATTTAAAAAAAAAATAATTTCACCCTATTTCAATGATTCTTCCAAAAATTATGCTTCTTAGGAAACTTTGAATTTTCATGATATACTAAACTTTTAGTTAATAATATCAATTGTCATCAGTGTAAAAAAAGTCTTTTTCCTCATTTAAACCATTACATAAAAAGATTATTACTTATATTTTTCAGGCTTCCTGTATAAATGCTAATTACACAGATTCTGGTATATTTGGATTTCATTTGTGTGCTCAGGCCAAAGATATGGGACAGGTACTGACTTTTATATGCTAGAGATTTAAAATTATTACTGTCTATTTAAAAAAAAAGCAATATTGTAGCATTATTGTGTTTGTACTCTTTGAATCTCCCCACTTCTCCCTAGTATTTTCAAAAAGAGAACTAGTTTCTTCCTTTGATTCAACAGTAGTATAAGCCTTGATTTCAGACTAGGAGTAAATAATGTTTGGCTCATTCTGAATAGTAAATTTCTGTATGGTTAAAAAGGTCTTCCTGTGATCTCTTACCTTGTAAAAATAAAAATTCACATTCATTATTTCAGTATTGATTTTCCTTATAATATTTTTGCAATTGCATTAATTAGATTTTACATTTTTGTAAGAGGTCAAGAATTCACAATAATAAATGCATGCATTAATTTCTGAATTTACACTATATGAACAAATCTTACTGAATATGTACGGTTATATAGTATTTGCACTGGACTTCAGCATTGATCCATAAGACAATATTGTGGTCTCTGATATACTGTAAACAAACTTATTTTCACAGATACTTTATTTTCACATTAAGCCCTTTCTTTACTACTTTGCATTGTTTTTCTACTTGTAAAAGTCACGAAAATTAATTGCTCGCGAAAGTTAGTTGGTTTACAGTTACTGTTTTATTATGTTTACAGGGAATAAAAGCTGCAATGAATGCATTTGCTAATGTCTCTAAGAATGGTGTAACAGATGAAGATGTTGTCCGAGGAAAGTAAGTATAATGTCAGTCAGCAAGTTATATGCCTGGAGCGGTGGGGGCATTAAGTTTTACCCTTGTTCGTCTGTACGTACGAACAAACGTACGTCCCAAAATTGGTTTCCGTTCTCTAACTTGAGTTTGCCTCAACCAAATGTTATGAAACTTATACACAATGCTTATTACTACAAAACACAGATCAAATTTGAATTTTTGTGGGGTCACTCTAACCGTTCTAGAGTTATGCCCCTTTATAAATGGAAAAATTGCAAAATTTTTATTTTCTTCTAAATATCAAGTAATTTTTAAAATTGGAGTTATCTTCCTTTGTCCATGATTATAGTTGAATCAACTACAATCAATGCTTTATACAATGCAATGTTTAATTTTGACTTCCAATGATAAAACACAGATCAAGTTGAATTTGGGTAGTGTCACTTTAACCATTATTGAGTTATGCCCCTTTATAAATCAAAAGATTGCAAAATTTTAGTTTCCATTCTGTTACTTAAGTTTGCCCCAACCAAACATTATGAAACCCATACACAATATTCATTTTTATACGACCGCAAAAAAATTTTTGTGGTCGTATATTGGTATGACGTTGGCATCGTCGTCGTCGTTGTCGTTGTCGTCCGAAGACACATTGGTTTTCGCACTCTAACTTTAGTTTAAGTGAATGGATCTCTATGAAATTTTACCACAAGGTTCAATACCACAAAAGGAAGGTTGGGATTGATTTTGGGGGTTATGGTACCAACAGTATAGGAATTAGGGGCCAAAAATAAGCATTTTTATACGACCGCAAAAATTGAAAATTTTTTGGTCGTATATTGGTATGACGTTGGCGTCGTCGGCGTCGTCCGGCGTCGTCCGAAGACACATTGGTTTTCGCACTCTAACTTTAGTTTAAGTGAATGGATCTCCATGAAATTTTACCATAAGGTTCAATACCACGAAAGGAAGGTGGGGATCGTTTTTGGGGGTTATGGTACCAACAGTTAAGGAATTAGGGGCCAAAAAGGGGCCAAAAATAAGCATTTTTGTAACTTCCAGACAATAACTTGTGTGTAAGTGTATGGATCTCTCTGACATTGTACCACAAGGTTCCATATCACAAAGGGAAGGCTGTAATTGATTTTAGGGGTAATTGCCTCAAAATTTTAGGAATTAGGGGCCAAAAAAGGGGCAAAAAACAAGCATTTTTCTAGTTTCATGACAATAACTTGTGTGTAAGTGTTTGGATATTTCTGAAATTGTACTACAAGGTTCCATATCACAAAGGGAAAGCTGGAATTGAGTTTGGGGGTAATTGCCCGAAACGTTTAGGAATGGGGCCAAAAAGGGGCCAAAAATAAGCATTTTTCTAGTTTCCAGACAATAACTTGTGTTCAAGTGTATGGATCTCTCTGAAATTGTACTGCAAGGTACCATACCACAAAGGGAAGGCTGGGATTGAGTTTGGGGGGTGATGAATCATAAGGGGGTTCAAAAAATTTGGGGGGGGGATTTTTTTTTTTTCTTTTTTTTTCTTTTTTTTCTTTTTTTTTTCTTTTAAAATTTTCCATTTTAAGTTGGTTATTTCTGATTAATATTTAAAAGCAAATAATAATGATATGGTAGGAGATACACACCAAACAGGATGTGTAAATTATTATATAATAAGTATTGTGCAATAGCAAGAAATTTTCAATTGCACAGTATTGCACAATTGCAAGAAATCTTCAATTGCACAGTATTGCGCAATAGCAAGAAATCTTCAATTGCACAGTATTGCGCAATAGCAAGAAATATCCAATAGCACAATATTGCGCAATAGCAAGAAATTGTCAATTGTACAGTATTGCACAATAGCAAGAAATATTCAATTGCACAGTATTGTGCAAAAGAAGATACTTCGTATAAATTGCTTATTTCTTGATCAATTTCAATGGGGTTTTATTCTTGAATTCTTGGGGTTCTTTAATATGCTGAATCTAACCGTGTATTAAGTTTTTGGATTTTGGGCCCCTTTTTTAAATTGGTCCACATTGAGGTCCAAAGGGTCCAAAATTTAACTTTGTTTGATTTCATCAAAAATTGAATTATTGGGGTTCTTTGATATGCCGAATCTAACCGTGTATTTAGATTCTTAATTTTTGGTTCCGTTTTCAAATTGGTCTACATTAAGGTCAAAAGGGTCCAAAATTAAACTTAGTTTGATTTTAACAAAAATTGAATTTTTAGGGTACTTTGATATGCTGAATCTAAACATGTATTTAGATTTTTGATTATGGGCCCAGTTTTCAAGTTGGTCCAAGTTGGGGTCCAAAATTAAACTTTGTTTGATTTCAACAAAAATTGAATATATGGGGTTCTTTGATATGCTGAATCTAACCATGTATTTAGATTTTTGATTTTTGGGCCCCGTTATCAACTTTGTCCTTATTGAGGTCAAAAGGGTCCAAAATTAAACTTTGTTTGATTTCATCAAAAATTGAATTCTTGGGGTTCTTTGATATGCTGAATCTAACCATGTATTTAGATTTTTTATTTGTGGACCCGCTATCAAATTGGTTCATATTGAGGTCAAAAGGGTCCAAAATTAAACTTTGTTTGATTTCATCAAAAATTGAATTATTGGGGTTCTTTGATATGCCAAATCTAACCGTGTATTTAGATTTTTAATTTTGGGTCCCGTTTTTAAATTGGTCTACATTAAGGTCCAAAGGGTCCAAAATTAAACTTAGTTTGATTTTAACAAAAATTGAATATTTGGGGTTCTTTGATATGCTGAATCTAAACATGTGTTTAGATTTTTGATTATGGGCCCAGTTTTCAAGTTGGTCCAAGTTGGGGTCCAAAATTAAACTTTGTTTGATTTCAACAAAAATTGAATATATGGGGTTCTTTGATATGCTGAATCTAAACATGTATTTAGATTTTAGATTTTTGGCCCAGTTTTCAAGTTGGTCCAAATTGGGGTCCAAAATTAAACTTTGTTTGATTTCAACAAAAATTGAATATATGGAGTTCTTTGATATGCTGAATCTTACCATGTATTTAGATTTTTTATTTGTGGGCCCACTATCAAATTGGTTCCTATTGAGGTCAAAAGGGTCCAAAATTAAACTTTGTTTGATTTCATCAAAAATTTAATTATTGGGGTTCTTTGATATGCCAAATCTAACCGTGTATTTAGATTTTTAATTTTGGGTCCCGTTTTTTAATTTGGACTACATTAAGGTCCAAAGGGTCCAAAATTAAACTTAGTTTGATTTTAACAAAAATTGAATTTTTGGGGTTCTTTGATATGCTGAATCTAAACATGTGTTTAGATTTTTTATTATGGGACCAGTTTTCAAGTTGGTCCAAGTTGGGGTCCAAAATTAAACTTTGTTTGATTTCAACAAAAATTGAATATATGGGGTTCTTTGATATGCTGAATCTTACCATGTATTTAGATTTTTTATTTTGTGGGCCCGCTATCAAATTGGTTCATATTGAGGTCAAAAGGGTCCAAAATTAAACTTTGTTTGATTTCATCAAAAATTGAATTATTGGGGTTCTTTGCAGGGCTTCCAAAACGGTCATATATTCCGGACTTGACCGAAACTTTCATAAAAAGACCGGCTGCTCTCAGCCTCAAACGGTCAAATAGAATTGGTGTGCCACATTTTGTTATTCAAGGCATTTTCATGAAACGGTCATTTCAATTTTTACCAACTATCGATCGATAAAAATGTCCGTTTGGGGCTTTGGGCATGTCCGTTTGGGCATTTTAGTTTATAATTGTGGCAATCTATTTCACAAAGATATTTCGGTCATAATTGGGTTTAATAAAACAGAAGCAGCATATTTCAGATACTTTGAAGTGTCTCAGTTAGTCTAATCCTCTGGGTACATAAATGTACGGCTTGGTCTTTAGCTTGTGTACATCAATAAAAAGTAGAAAAAACACGTTTTCTTTTATTTAAATAACAACAAGCTGTCAAACAATTATCCCTTCAATAAGTTATATTGAAGCCATAAATCATTCACTGATTACAGGTTTGTTACCTTTGATGAGGTGTCCTTAGCTTATCTTTATCAATAGAATTAATGATGCATAACAATGTACATAAAGGTAATCCGGTAAACGAGGTCAAACATGTAAGCGTGTATGGAACAACATCCTATTTAATTACGCTTTATAGATATTATTTTAAATGAGCATTCAGTTTTAAAAGTATCCTGATATTTAAAAGTTATTCTTCAAATAAGGATATTTATAAATGAATAAGTATGATATATATTTTTTATTTAACACTGTACATCGTGTTAAATACTGGGGTACTCTCAAGGGGAAAATTTACTAAAATATATAGGAAAAACCAATGGACAAATTTCAGTCAATAAATGATTTAACTAAGTTAAATGGTGCCGTGATCACTTCTAAATTATATCAAGAGAACAATGCCTGCTCCGAATTTATTCAGACAATTTCCGATGTTATAGAGAAAGAGGTGATGTCCGACGTAAAGTTAAGTCCCGCCGTGGGAATTATGATCGACTAAGGTGTAGTCTAGGTATTGACGCTTTAGATCAACTTATGAGGATAAGCTTAGTAGGTGTAGATGTTAAAGACTTTGACCCTGTTCCTGCTATCCGCAAATGGCAATCCGTTCGTAACCGCCATGTTTATCAGAACAATGCATTTAGCAAGCTCATGAATGTAAAATCTTTAATTAGACTAAATGAACTCTAATCTTGTGCTGTGATCTGTGCTTCTTTTCAATGTGCTCATTGTAATATTTATTGCGTGTGTTTGTCAGCATTGTGCTCTTCTGACATTTTATTGTTGTTATATGCTTACATAAAATATCATGTTGTTATTCATTAAATTATTTATCAACTGAGTATGTTTTTATTTATTCCTTATTTTCTAAATCAGGTTGGGAAATTGTACAAAGAAAAATGTTATCACTGTTCAGTAGATTTTACACGGTTTAAAACAATATCCTTCATCGGGCCTCCTCAATGTTATCTATAAATAC